GGACCCAGACCAGGGCTATGACATGGGGCCTATGGGATCTCCTGCTGCTTCGGCCATGTCCACATCTGGGAGAGGATCCGGCAGCAAGGAAACCAGCAGGGTGGTGGCTCAGTCACTTAACACTCCCTGGGCCTTCCAAGGGGGTCCCCAAATCGGTGCCTTTCTAGATGCTGTCTGCTTTGCCCACTGTTGTGGCACAGATTCCAGGAAAGGCAAATCAGACACATCTGGGATGTTTTTAGGGATCTTTGACAAGGAATGATAAAGATGTACAGCACAAAGAAGGGTCAATTTGTCAATCTTATTTTGTGCTATATAAAACCTGATTTAAATCCTAACACAATAGGCCCGTGATTTATGATATCTGATCTGGGGAGTCAGAAGATTCCCTGCTGTCATTTCCCTCCCCATAAAAACCTTGTCTACTGGCTCTGCACCTGCGGCTCAAGTGGCTAAGGCGCCAGCCACATACACTTGAGTTGCGGGTTCGAATCCAGTCTGGGCCCGCCAAACAAAATGACAGCTGCAACCAAAAAATAGCTGGGCGTTGTGGCTGGCGCCTGTGGTCCCAGCTACTTGGGAGGTGGAGGCAGGAGACTCGCTTGAGCCCAGGAGTTGGAGGTTGCTGTGAGCTGTGATGCCACGGCACTCTACCCAGGGGGACAGCTTGAGGCTTTGTCTCAAAAAACAAAAAACCCAAAAACCCTCATTTACACAGCAGTGCTTATCTCTGCTGCCCAGGCTAGACTGCCATGGCCTCAGCCCAGCTAGCAGCAACCTCCAACTCCAGGGCTCAAGCAGTCTTCCCGCCTCAGCCTCCTCCTCCTCCAAGTAGCTGAGACTACAGGTGTGTACTATCACGTCCAGCTAGTTTTTCTATTTTTAGTAGAGATGGGGTCTCAGTCCTGCTTGGGCTGGTCTTGAACTCCTGAGCTCAAGGGATCCTCCCACCTTGACCTCCCAGAGTGCTAGGATTATAGGCATGAGCCACCATATCCAGTCCCATATCCCTATTTTTATCCTTAATTCTTTTCTCCAATTTTGAGGAGATCCTCTAGGACACTTGATAGGTAGGCAGAAGTCACACTTGGTCTTGATGATGGTGGATAATCAGGATCTGAAAAAGTGAAATCTAAGTCTCCAGACCCTACCCTGTGGCTGCTTCCTTCTGGCCTCAGCACATCACCCTTTGGGGCTGATCTACTACCTGCAACCTCCTGGTTTGGCCAAGCAGTCAACACCTGCTCTGGGCACTAGCATGAGAACTGACATAAGAATCAAAGGAAGCCCTGCTTTTGATGGGTTTCCCATCCAGTGTGGCTCAGCCCCGTCACAGGAGAAGGGCTTACCACAACTAGCAAAGGGCACACAAGTTCAAATTGCACATGCCTGTGCTGGAAACCGAATACACATATGCTGAGAGGAACTAAGGAAGAAGGAGCACAGGGCTGGGTGAGTTAACAAGTGGCTTCCTACGGGAAGTGAGGATTGTAAGGGTAGGCACAGATGCGGCAGGGAGGGCATCCCATTCGGGGAAATGGCTTACAGAAATATGTACGCTGAAATAACAGTCTCTGAGCAGGAGCATCCCAACTAATTGCCTTATTAGAGCCAGGTTTCCAGGTAAAGGGTAAAGAGAAATGACTTCATGCAATGAATATAGCAGCTGGCTGGGTAGCCTCAGACAAATAACTTTCTCTCTCTGGACCTTGGCTCCCTCCAGTATGATACGAGGGATGGGCAATGATGGCGCCAGGCTGAGGATTCTGTTAAAGATGTATAGGAAATTAATAATTGTGGGAGCAGTGTTTTAGGCACTTTATGAGACAGCCTTTCCTTATTTTAGAGATAAAGTGTCTTTTTTATTTTTGAGACAGAGTCTTACTTTGTCACCCTCGGTAGAGTGCCATGGTGTCACAGCTCACAACCTCCTCCAGCACTTGGGCTTAGGCGATTCTCTTGCCTCAGCCTCCCGAGTAGCTGGGACTATAGGTGCCTGACACAACACTCAGCTATTTTTTGTTGCAGTTTTGCTGGAGTCAAGTTTGAACCCGCCACCCTCGGTATGTGGGGCCGGTGCCCTACTCACTGAGCAACAGCAGGCGCCACCTGAGATTAAAGTGTCTTGTCTAAAGTTTTACATACAGTGATTGACCAAGCTGAAATTAGAATCTGGTCTCCTTTCATTCATTCAGTGTCTCCAGAGCAGCGATTCATTCTCAACGCTCATTCTCAGCGATTCAGTCTCTTACGTGACTCAGGCAGTCATGTAATATTTGTCCTGAAAGTGATCTTAGCTATTCTCTAGGCCAGAGATTTTTGATGCAGTCCTTTGACTGAAGACCTCTAACCCAGGATTATCTCTTCTCCTTTGACAGTTGAGGAAATGCAGAGTCTGGGAATCAGATCAGTGATGGAAGTGGAGCGTCAATTCTGAGTTCCCACCTGTCCTCAGGTGCTCAGCATGTTCCTAGATCCTCCATTCCTGGTTAGGACCCCCTGGAAAACGTGATTGGCTGGACCTGCAGATTCCCAAGGGACACAGGCAAGCATTAAATAAGATAAAGCGCGTGAAACACTTGGTGCTGTGTTAGCACAGAGTAAGGGTGATAATACATTCTGGTGCCTTTGAGCAATTCCATGTGGCCAGTTTCTGTGCTCAGGGGAGAGCAGATGGGCTGTGATGGGGAAAGAGAATCAAAGCACATTGGTGGGGAGGGGGCTTCATCTTTCTGGGCCTGCTATCTTGACTGACATGCTGCAGCTCTTGCCAAAACCCACCGGTCAGAGTGAAAGTCACATATCACTGGAAACCTTGCAAACCACCACTAAAACTTCTAGGTGCAGGAAAATAGTTGCTTGCCCTAAATAAATGACTTATCGTTGCCCAGGGTCATCTGACTTTCTCTTTAATTATAAGCCCTCTTCGAACATTCAAACACACAGGGCCTTTGTAAACTTGAACTCCCTCTGTCTCACCCACAATCCTCCCATATGGAACTCTCCCTTTCATTTACAGATAAACACCCATCTCTTACTGATTCACATAATGACTTTCAGCTCCTTGTGTCTCAGTCAAGGAGGGGGCCCCAGTAGAATTATAGGCATCTGAGCCATCTTCCTGTTCCAAGGCCCCTGGGGGCTCATCTAAAAGTGAGTCCTTTCTGGAGGGAAGACAATGGGCAAAAAGCCCTCTTCACTGGTGCACCAGTCCCAGCTTTCTTCTCCCCTTTGACTACAAAGTTATTTATTTGAGCCGCCACTTCCCTAAGAAAATTCAAAAATTCTTCCACGCCATCCCTTCTATACTTAAAATCATTGTACACTTCACTCTCTGGTCCATTCCTCTTGCAAAATCAATGCAGAAGTTCTAGAAAGATTTCCTAGGTATCAGGAGGGACTAGGAAAGCCTCTTTCTTCTCCTTGTCATTTTTCCTTGTCAGACAGAGGAGTCAGTTCTTTGGAGTGATGAGGAAGATCCCGAGGTCTAGGGCCTGCTGTAGGGCTCCTCTGGGTCTTCTCAGAAGCCGAGGACTCACAGCTTGACTGTACGTCTCCACCTGGCCGTGCCCTGACAAGCACGGGGTCGCCAATCAAATCAGAAAATCTCATGGAGGAATCTCAGGGCCCCTTCTTGGCTTGAGGGCAACTCTTTCTCTAGGACTGGAAGCCCCAGCACCTGCTCTGACATCTTTAGGTAGGGCAGTGTTGAACCTGAATTCATCTCCCCCAGTCCCTGATTGGGAGCATTTGCCTATTCAGATGGTGGAAACACTTCCATGGAAACTTTTCTCCAAGTGTCCCTTGTGACAGCCCTCCTTGGGGGGGGGTTGCAGAGCAGCACCCCACTTATTATGTGCCTCATGTTTCCACCTCCCTTTGCTCTTTTTCTTCTGAGATTAGATGGCTGCCCCAGAGGGTTGGTGGCTCTAATAGCTCAAGATACAAATAATAAGGCTTTGAGTAATTTTTTGCCTTCGTTTAAAATATAATTTGGTTAATTATAAATTTATGTAATTTAATTTAAAGATGACTGTGTTCAACAGCTGATTGGCAAAGTTTCTGAAAATCAAACAGTCTATACCAGCCCATACAGCACACCAGGGTCAGGGGCAGGCCCTGGGCCCCAGTAGCCCCCCCATGGAGAGGGGGTCTCCATGTTCCTGGAATGCTGCTCTTCTGCCAATGGGACATTTACAGGGAGAATTCTTGATTCTGGGTCTTCTAGGCGACTCTGTGATTAAGAAACAGCAGGGAAGTTGTTGCAACAGAAGAGAGCTGGTGGGCCTGGGGAGGGGTCATTGGTGTGTCCTCACTGCTAACTCCTGACCTGAGCTCCTTGAGAGGGAGGCTGAGACCCGGAGCGCGGGTAGAGGTCCACTAGGCAGCAGTGACTGGTGTGTCAGGGCACTGGGGCATAACCGAGGGCAAAACGCGAACCTAGACTCCAGCGCTGGTTTCTCTGGCCAGCCCACGCCTCTGTCTCCGCTCAACGCCACTCCCTCCCCGCCAAGTGGCTCTCCTCTCGGCTCTGGAGGCGGGACCGAGTTCTCCGGTGGCCCCTGAAGGCTCCGGCCTGCGAGCTCTGGGAGGGGAAAGAAGGGAGGGGCGTCAACTGGGCAGTCCAAAGAGGAGGGGGCCTTTAATAGGCTCACCCAGCGTCTGGTTTGCTGCACTGCGAGTGGCTGCGGTTTCGAGAGGCCGCCCGGCACCTCCCGCTAGTTTTCGGCTGCAAATTTTCGTCTTTGCACTTGACAGCGATTGCGCTTAAGCTCCCAGGGCGCGCTTTGCTTGGAAAGGCACAGGTAGGAGGCGCGGGCCGCCCGGTGCACGCTCGCCGCTCTGGGAGGAGTCTCGCTCGCTTTGCTCTCCTTTCTGGGAGCTGCCGGCTGTCTCGGAGCGTTGGTAGTTCCAGTGTTCCGGCTGCACAGAGACCGCGTCCGCGTCCGGGGAGCCGGACAAGCCCTTTGCCGGAGCGCAGCTGTGCGCTGCCGGGCGCCATGCTTCTGCTGGGCATCTTAGCCTTGGCTGTCGCCGCGCGACCCGCTGGCGGCTCTGAGCCAGAGAGGGAGGTAGTTGTTCCTATCCGACTGGACCCGGACATCAACGGCCGCCACTACTACCGGCCGGGTCCCGAGGACTCCGGGGATCAGGGGCTTATTTTTCAGATCACAGCATTTCAAGAAGATTTTTACCTACACCTGACGCCGGATGCTCAGTTTTTGGCGCCCGCCTTCGCCACCGAGCATTTGGGTGTCCCCCTCCAGGGACTCACTGGGAGCTCTTCAGACCTGCGACGCTGCTTCTACTCCGGGGACGTGAACGCTGAGCCCGACTCGTTCGCCGCTGTGAGCCTGTGCGGGGGTCTACGTGGAGCCTTTGGCTACCGAGGGGCCGAGTATGTCATTAGACCGCTGCCCAACGCTAGCGCGCCGGGGGCGCAGCGCAACAGCCAGGGCGCACACCTTCTCCAGCGCCGAGGTGCCCCCGGAGGGCCTTTCGGAGACCCCACCTCTCGCTGTGGGGTGGCCTCGGGCTGGACCCCTGCCATCTTGCGGGCTCTGGACCCTTACAAGCCGCAGCGGGCGCGCTCGGGGGAGAATCGCAGCCGGCGCAGGTCCGGGCGCGCCAAGCGCTTCGTGTCCATCCCGCGGTACGTGGAGACGCTGGTGGTGGCCGACGAGTCAATGGTCAAGTTCCACGGCGCGGACTTGGAGCATTATCTGCTTACGCTGCTGGCCACGGCGGCGCGACTTTACCGCCACCCCAGCATCCTCAACCCCATCAACATCGTTGTGGTCAAGGTGTTGCTTCTTGGAGATCGTGACACTGGCCCCAAGGTCACAGGCAACGCAGCCATGACTCTGCGCAACTTCTGCGCCTGGCAAAAGAAGCTGAACAAAGTGAGTGACAAGCACCCTGAATACTGGGACACTGCCATCCTCTTCACCAGGCAGGTGAGTTGATCTGCCACTTCTTGGGACCCAGATAGCCTCGTTCTCTTAGGGTCTCAGCTCTTCAAATCCCCTTTGTACCGCGCCGAATTAGATTTCCTTGATTTCTTCCCGCTCCAACTTTGGAGCTTCCAGGTAGAGCCCTCTCCTGGGCTTTGCGGAGCGCGGGCTCACGTGCATCCGCGCCATTGGAGGAGCGCCCCGCTCTCTCCGAAGGTGTTGGCCTGGCGCGGCCAATCAGCGCCTCCTGGATCAGGCGCTAAGGGGCTGGACCCAGGAAGTTGCCGCCCCGGAGTCGCAGTTTGCCTCCATGGCCGATAGGAGGCGCTATGAGGATGGTGTTGAAGAGGCGGGAACCGTCCCTCCCAGTGGTGTAGGGCATCTAAGTCCTCTCAGACACCTCTTCCGAGGCTTCCTTCCGTTAGCTGTAGAACTGCGCAGCGATCCACGGTCAGCACCTGCTACATTTCTTGTGGGTAACCTGTTGTTCTGGACCTGGAAAACCTGGATGGGATGGAGGGAATCATTGGGACAATTTGTGGGTTGCAATAAAAGGCTAGACAAGTACCGGGTCGTTGCCGTTTCTCCTACACCCTTCTCTGCTGGTCCTGATCCAGGGGCTTCCAGACCATTCTGAACAGGCAGCTTAGTTAGGGCACCTGTTTGGAGCTGGGTCTGTTTCACTTGGAGCTGAGTTGGGAAAATCTCTTCCAATTTATCCAAATGCTGTCAGAGGGTGACTCGTTTGCCCAGATGTACGCATGGAGCAGGGAAGGCAAGATTCCTGCTGCTTCAAATCACTAAAATTCCCATGACTGCCCTTGACCGAGGGCTCTCCCTTCTGCCCTTGCTGGGGTGAAAGTGAGGTGAGCCTACTTAAGACCATTTGGAGACTCCAGTTGCAAGGTTAGGAAGATACTGGGATTAAAAAGAGAGACCCAGCCAGGAAAGCAGCTTTTAAGTCTTTCCCTAGGATTCTATCTCACATAAGCGGTGCGTCTGTAGACCTTTAGATGCACAGGTATTGGAGGGATCAGGTTCTGTAAAGTTTTTGATTCTCGAGATTTCTCAGATACGTACCACAAGAAGCTGGGAGGAAAAGGGCCATCCAAGGGACCCGCTTCCTCTGATTTGGGGGCTGTGACTTGAACGCATGCCATTGTCTTGTTTTGTCATTATCCTAACCACAGCGTGCTGGGGATGGCACAGAATCCTTGGTTACCTCTAACCTTCCACTGTTTCCACATGGCCACTCGAAGCTGGACTGGCGCACACGGCCTGGAGCTGGAGTCTTCCACAGTAACCCATTTGGCACAGCTAGTCCCTTCCTGGAGTTGAACTTCCTCCTTTCCCAGCCTTCTCCTCCTCCCACCACCTGGTTTCTCTAGGGAGGTCTTTGGCCTGAGTCTGTTTCCTTGTGCTCCTTCTTCCAAGTGAGGTCTGTGGAGCTGCCACTGCCCAGCCCCTACGAGCACTGCCTGAGTCATGGGAAGCTGTAGAGGAGGTGGTTCCGACCTCTGCACACAGACCAGCTCATCAGCTTGCTGGGGTTGGAAAAAAAGCAAAGGCCAAGAACAGGATATCTTAACGGGCAAAGCAGCTGTTGCCCGATCCGCTGCCTGGGATGCCCCTGTGGAGGTCATTCATTGGCTTGAGAGTCACAGATCTAGTGTCTGCAGCCTGGTGGCTAAGGCTGGCTTTTGGAAAGAGCCCTAGGAAGAGGAGTCCTGCTGGGAACATGGACCATGGCATCAGAAGAATCCCACCTTTTAAAGAAGAAGCGTTCAAAACAGCGCCACAGCTTCTGTTTCTCAGGGGGGTGTGCTAGACCCCTCGGGGCTACGTTGTCCATGCATAATGGGTCCAAGATGCATGACCAAAGGGTCAGAAGCAGTGCTGGACAGGATGTGACTTTTAGAAGCTGTCTTTCCCTTAGGCGTCTAGAGGGCAAAGCCAGAGAGTGGGGCGGCTGTATTGGCAGGTCCATCGTCAAGGTAGGTGCTTTGTGCTTTACAGTGAACACTTCTTCCCCACCTCCTCACCAGCGCAGACTTCAGGCCCTGCTGCCTTCTGAGAATCTCTGGGAACTTCTCATTCCTGAACTCCCCTGGGGAGAAGGTACAGTATTCCATGAAAACACAAGTGAACAGCTGCTGTTTCTAGACTAAGTCAGATGCCGTCTCCAGGACCCTTAACTGCCTGGGAAGGAGAATACATTGATCATACAACAAGTATTTTGACAATTTGAGGAGTTTACTTAAGGATTCAGAATAAGAAAGAGTGCACATCTGATTTTTCAAAGTGATTAGCCTCCAGGCTCATAACAGCAGGGTGAAGTCAGCACGGGATTGGAACCAGGATCTGCGGAGAGTTGGAGCCAGTGTCTTTTTCATTTATTTCTAGGAGGAGAAAAGTTTCTTTGGCTTCACGTTGCTCTGGGCAGCAGGAGCCAGGCAGTTAGCACTGAGGCTCAGTGGGCTTGTGCTCCCCAAGACTGCTCTGTCTTTAGGCCCAATGCCATGTGGGTAACTCTTTGTGGTAGAATGGCTTTCATTCATTTATTCATACACTCTTTTAATATTTATTGAGCATGTATTATTTCCAAGATAGCTGTGGAGCTACAAATATTAATAAGATGTGGCCTCAGGCTCCCAGGAATTCACTGTGGGTGGGGGGATGGCAACAGCTAATTTTAATAGTGTGCTAAGTGGCAGACAGAGGCCTTCTCTGTGGGAAGCCCTGTGGGTGGTCAGGATTGGGGGGCATTCTCCTTAACTCTGGAGCTGGAGAGGAGTGCAGATGTGGAGGGAAGCTTATTGTCTGCCTTGTAGGATGCCCTCTGCTCTGTTCACCATCTGTTTTGCTATTTCTCCCATTTGTTCCTTTGAAGTGACTTTGCCTTTTAGGACTCATAGTTTATGGCTTTTTTGCTTTCTTCTCCCTTCATTTATTTTATTTTTTCTGTTGCTCTTAGTATCACTTATTTATTTGTTTAATTTTATTTATTTATTTTTTGTACAGATAGGGTCTCACTTTGTCACCCAGGCTGAATCATAGCTCACTGTAGCCTAGAATGTCTGGCCTCAAGCAATCCTTTCACCTTGAAGTCCTGAGTAACTGGCACACAGGTGTGTCCAACCATGCCTGGCCAATTTTTAATATTTTTGTAGAGATAGGGGCTTGCCATGTTGCTCAGGCTGGTCTTGAACTGCTGGCCTCAAGCAATCCTCTTGCTTCAGCCTCCCAAAGTGCAGGGATTACAGGCATGAGCCACCACGCCTGGCTTTAATATTGCTTTATGCCCGTCTTATTCCCTTCTCCTCCTCTCTCTTTTCCTCCATCCTCTCATCTTCTTCTTTTGGGATCATCCGGGCAGACTCTTTATCATTTTTTTCTCTCTTATTTTCTTAGTTCATACTCTGACATATTTTCCTCTCACAATCCCAAGCTTGGTGCTATCTTCTTGTTTTGGCCTTGAGTGGTAATGTATTTCATAGGCGACATTCTCTACTGCGCAGAGTGGAACAGCATGCTGGAACCTCATGTGAAATAATAATAAAGCACTTGCTACAGGGCAGTGAAATTTAGTGTTCAGATTAAAAAGAAGTTAATCAAAGGTGGTGGCTGTAGCTCGTGGGTAGGGCGCCGGCCACGTACACCCAGGCTGGCGGGTTCAAACCCAGCCCAGGCCAGCTAAACCACAACAACTGTGACAACAACAACAAAAAATAGCTGTTCTTGAGATACTTTACTAAGAAGAATATGGTCCAGCTCCATCCATGTAAACATAGAAAGAGGTAAAGTCTCCATCAAATGTAGTAATGTACACAGTTATAATCTAATAAAAAAAGTAGCCGGGCATTGTGGCAGGTGCCTGTAATCTCAGTTACTTGGGAAGCTGAGGCAAGAGAATCGCTTAAGCCCAAGACTTTGAGGTTGCTGTGAGCTGTGATACCACAGCACTCTACCGAGGGTAACATAGTGAGACTCTGTCTCAAAAAAAAAAATTAATGATAACGATTATCAATGATAATTAATGATATTAAAAAAGTTAATAATGGTAATAAATATATTACATATATTTCCCAATGTGATAAGAAAAGAATCATGGTATCAGGATCTTTTTCAAAGACAGGGCTTGGAAGATTTTAGGAGAGGGGCCATTGATGGGTTTGATATTTAGTCGTTTGTCATTCTTGGTCACTAAATGAAAACACAACATCATTCCTTCTGGGAAGGAGGCAGGAAGGGGTAGGAAGAGAGAAAGAAAGGAGTGTGATTATTCTCTCTCTTGTAGGGTGAGTACCCTCTCTCTTCTTTTCTTATTTATACCAAATAAGTAAGCCCGACTTTAAGACTGGAGGGAGTCTTGTCTTTATTTTTTTAACCACTGGAAGTCAAGAGAGGTTTTCTCCTTCCTTCCTTCTTTTTCTTTCCCTGTCTTTGAAGGTCTCTGTAATTGTTTGTGTCTCTTCCGCCCCACCTTGCCTTAACACCTTGACTCAGGCGTGTGGCACAGTGGAAAGAACCCAGGCCTGGGGTCAGGCAGACCTGAGTTTGAATCAGGGGCTTGAACTTCCTAGCAATGGGCATTGGCTTAATCAGCAATTTGGGCTTCACTTTCCTCATCCTTGGAATGAGGGTATTGATGATGACATGGTACCTAATTTACGGGCTGTTGCCAAGATAAATTGTGAGTGCTTTTCATCAGTAACGACAGCATGCTAAGTAGTCTGGTGGGATTTAGACCAAAGAATACAGTTTTGGATTCAGGGTCTCTTTCTTCACTTACCAGCCATGTGTAATCTCAACCCATTGAGCCTCAGTTTCCTTATCTGTAAAAGGAGAGAATAGCACTCAAGTATGCCAGTTACTATGAGCACAAATATATGTTTCTTGTTTCTGTGGGATAGTTACTCCAACTTAACCCTCACCAGTATTCAAATATGGGTAGACCTGATTTAAAGTATTCTGTCCCATTGCCCTCGTAAGTGTACTTTACA